TATTCTGTATCTATATATATGAGAAAGGTCGCATGATGCCAACATTGATGAGGTATGACGATCAGCTTGCGCGATGTTAACCAGCTGGCAGAATGTAAGATAAAAAGGAAAATGCAGATGGATGATCTGATTGTTGTCTCTCGCCAAGGGGATTATTTTTTTTTTCCAAGTCGGCCAAGCTAGCAACGGCATCATACATGTATATTATCAACTGAACATCAATGTTATTCTAGAAACATCTATGCTCGTTTTGGAAACGATATTTATGCATGCATGATTCTATTCCTGTTCAGTTATCATCGTTTGTTCATCATTTTTTCTTCTCTCTCTATCTCTTTTTCTTTCTCTCCCTCTCTCTCTCTCTCTCTTGTTTGGTATCTTCTTTTCGTCCTTATCGATCACAGAAAAGGAAAAAAGGCATCATTTTATTGCTGTTGTCTTTTTTTTCTCTCAGCCGAAAATACTTCCTGCTGCCGTATATATGTATATATCAATCAGAAGAAGTGCGAACGTTTGTGTGCCGTTTTTTCTTCTTGTAGTATTGGCCAAATTTAGCCCCGACATTACTATTATCCTGATTCTTCTATTCGCTACTACATATGTCTACGTACAAGAATAGACTGTGCATATATGTATAATACACGCACAAAAAAGAATCATCAGTGGCATACATATATATATATATATGCAAGAGCAATGGATGATTCTATACACAGAATCGTTTATATTTATCCTGCTTATTCTCGTTTATTAGAGTAGTACACATTCTACTACATGTTCAAATATGGTTTATCAATATGTAAGTAATAATAAAGAAAGTTTCCAATTCGTACTTCTAAGACAGACCATATCGAAAATGTATCTTATGGAATGTAATAGAAGTATGCCGAGGGCTTTCTCCTTCATCATCATGAATAATACAAAAACACAATAAGAATCTACGAATAAATCTATTCGTCATTATTTTCTTATATCAAAAGAAGTGAACAAAAATCGAAACTGATCATAATGAAGAAAAACAAAACATATGGAAATACAATCAGTTTCTTTTATAGTATTTCAATCGGTCAATCAACATGTTTATGTGAATCAGAATAATAGAAAAAAAGAAGACTGTTGTCCAGATGTGTGATATCTGTTCTCCTGCTGATTGACCGCTTATTCGTTTAACAATGAGAAATGAAAAAACAAGAAAAGAAAAGAAAAGAAAAGAACAAAGATAAGATCTAATGACTTACGATGAATTGCCACGTAAAGCAGCATGATGAATTGAATTGAAACCATTGTTATTACATGTAGCTACATCAGCATTGTATTCAAGTAAAATAATAATTAAATCATCACGTCTTTTTGATATAGCATCATGTAATGGTGTATCACCATCTGAATCTTGTATTCCAGGATGAGCACCATTTGATAAAAGAGTTTTACATACATCAAAATGGCCTTTACAAACACCTATACAAAAAGTATATAGAAGAATATGATTTATGATAGAATTTTCATATGCTACTCATCATTTTATGAATATATATTAATTTAGATAGAGAGGAAATGCTTGACTTGCTCTTTTTTTTTAATCATACTCATATTAAATAAACAACTATGTACTTGACTAATCATTGATTTTATTTGTTTCTTGACACTTACATCATTGTTTTAGAAGATATCAAGGTCACAAAAGATTAAGATTTATATAATATTTCTTTTTTTTATATTTATAACTTTTGGAGAAGTTGTTTTTTTTTTAACTAAATTGGAAAAAATATATTTACCAATATGTAATGCTGTTTGTCGTCGTTTATTTCTAGCATTTAGATCAGCACCTGATTTTGCAAGTAACTCTAATACTTCAGCTTCATCACCAAATGCAGCATGATGTACAGCTCGATCACCATCTTTATCCTAGATAAGATATTTGAAAAATAAGAATGATTTTTGTTATGTTGAAAAAATATAGTTTTACTTCAATTTCTAAATTAACATGATGTTGAATAAGTAAACGAATAATATCTAAATGTCCATTTTGAGCTGCTGCTTGTAATGGTGTATGTCCAGCAAAAATGCCATTTACCTAATTATAATAAATATATAAGAATGTAAGATATATTCTTTTGTTTTGAAAATGATTACATCAACATTAGTTTGTTTTATTAATTCTTCTACTCTTCTTGTATCACCTAAAATTGATGAAATAAGAAGGACAATAATAGAAAAATAATTTTATATTTTTTTACCATTGGCTGCCGCTTTAACAAGTTCTTCATGAACATCACCAGTAATTTGTGCACTAAATAATTTTTTAAGCATTGCATTAAGTCGTTCTGAAAAACACAAAGTCAATAGAAATAATTTATAAAATCATGTCACACAAAGAAAACAAGATAAGAAATATTAATTAGTTGAAAAGCTTTTATGATTACTAAAATGTTTCTATTAATATATATTTATTAATTATTCTGACTTAGAGGTATATTAAATGGTGAAAAGCATGGATGCATCTTGTGCGAACATTTTTTTTTATTGAATTGGAGGTCAACATCAATTGCAAAATGAATATTCAGTGTCATTTTAGAAATGTAAGACACACAGTATTTTTTTTTTTCTTTTAATGTTAAAGTAACATTAGATGTTCACGTTTTTTCTGATCTACGATTACGATTATCTTTTCTTAGAATGATAATCAATTTTTAAATAGTTGGAAAACAGATACTTCACATATCCTTGGATATAAATTTGGAAATAAGCTATTATATTTACCTTCATGCCCATCTTCTATAGTTTGTGTTGAGTCAACTTTAGTAACAGCGAGTGGATTAAAAATCCAACAACCACCACCAACTTGAACTTTAACATCACCATCAGCATATAAATGAACAGCTCGACCAATTTTTCCAAGTGCCTATAGTACATATTTATTAATTATAATAGATATAAATCTTATTTTATACTTACAGGTACCATAGCTTCAGCCCATTCACCATGTCCACGTTGAAATATTTTAATTCTTTCTAAATCACTACATATTTGAACCATATCATTAACTTTCAATGCTTGATTAGGCATTGACGAAGCTGTTGTTCTTGCCATATTAGCTGCTGTTTGTTGTCGTTGCATAGCTGTTTGTTGTTCGGGTGTTAATTCAACTCGTGTTAATAATGCTGGATTTAAAGTCCATCGATTTCCACTTGGATAAACAACAACAACATCATGATCTTCATCAAGACTTTGTACCATACCAGTTGTACCCAAACATTCAAACATATTATCTGTCCAACCACCATGACCATGTTGCAATGATTGAACTATTTCAAGTTCTAAATCAATATTAACATAATCACCCACTTGAAATTGTTGACTAATTTCACTTGTTAATCCAGATGATAAATGTTCTCGAGAATAATATGTTTCACCTTATAATAAAGAAGTCAATACTCAACACAAATTTTAACAAAAAAAGCTAAAATTTTACCAAGTAATGGAGCATGTTCAGGATAATAATAACCACCTTTGCCTGGTGTTACTGAACGTAAATCAACCTAAAATTTAAAGAATGTTTTAGTTTTTTTTATTTGTCATTAACAAAATGCATTTTCAAAAAAAAATATATTCTTACCATGCCATTAAATCCTACACGATAAAGGTTTTCTCGATCATTATCCCAAACTACATAAGCAGCACTACGTGGATGTGTTTTTGACCAATCTTGTATTTCGATGATTTTACCATGTTTTTTCTCTCCAGAGTCTTGATCACCATAACTCCAATCTGGACCACGAGCAACTTTTGCACCAGGATAAAGACCACGAAAAGCTAATTTTTTTGCTTTTCGTCTTGGATCAATCAAAATTCTAAAATAAAATGACATATATAGCGTTCAAATGAAAAAGAAAACTAAGTGTAAATCATCGTAGAAAAGAAAATTAAAAACGATCAGCGATAAGCGCATTAACTTACCATGCAAAAATCTGTTAAACAAACGACCAAAAAGCAGGAAATAAGTGAGAAAGGTATAATGACATTTAACAATTGAATAATAATACAATACATATATATATATATATTTGACTTACTTTTCACCATGTGGAGTTACAATACGGCAAAATCGATGACGAGTATTATGTCGATCACTATGATAACACATGGAACAAAGGTCAACATTTGGACAATCACCACAATGCCAACGAATACCTAAGATAATAAATAATCATAACTATTCATTTATCATTTATTCACTTACCATATATTGGAGTTTGTCCACATCCAGAACACACTGAATTATCATGACAAATACCTATTCAAAAGTATAAATCAAATTAGAATTCTTCTACATCGAAGAAAATCTTACCTGTTGCACTATTATCTAATACTCTCAAATCAAATTGTGTTTGACATCGATAATGTCTTCCAACTTCACCATGATCCCAAATAACAATAACTTCTTGTTGTTCATTATCATTTTCATTTTCAAATGCTTTTACCGTTCCAACATGTCCTTCTCCACCATCTTGTTTTCCATATTTCCAATCAGGACCACGTACAACTCTTGTTCCACATATATATTTATCAACAACATGATTATTTGTTGTTTGATTAATTAATTCAATATTTGATCGACGATTTGTTGCTCCACCAATATTATTATCTACCAAATTATTTTTTTTGTTTTCTGTTTGCATTAATTTAATAAAATAACAATAATCTGCAACAATTGTGAAGATTTATATTCTGTTTTTTTTTTTGTTTAAAAAAAATCACCATTTTAGTGGTACGAAAAAAAGAAAGAAAATACAAATTTGTACATAAAATATCTTTTAGATCGTCGAAAAAAAAACAAAACAAAAAAGAAACCAGCACCAATGCATATATATATATATA